CCCATGCACACACACGGCAGGGGCACAGCCACACACACATGCACATGCACACACATGGCAGGAGCACAGCCACATGCACACACACATGCCCATGCACACACATGGCAGGAGCACAGCCACGCGCCCATGCACACACACACACAGCAGGAGCACAGCCACATGCACAGCCACACGCACATGCACACATACAGCAGGAGCACAGGCACACGCACATGCACACACACACGCACGGCAGGAGCACAGCCACACGCACATGCACATGCCCATGCACATGCATGGCAGGAGCACAGCCACGCACTCATGCACACGCACATGCATGGCAGGAGCATAGCCACGTGCCCACGCGCACACACAGGCACGGCAGGAGCACAGCCACACACACATGCACATGCCCACGCACACGCATGGCAGGAGCACAGCCACGTGCCCACGCACGCCGTGCTGGCAGGCTGAGCCTCATCGGTGCGGCCTCCTTGTTCCCTCCCACGGCACTCAGGCCCTGCCTCTGCCCAGAGCTCAGCTGAGGTACCCGGCGCCCCGCCTCATCTGACCGAGGCCTTCCCACGGCACCCTGGCCCTGCTGTGCTGCGCCCTTACCCTCTGCAACAGCACTCTGGAGATTCGGGACTGCCCTGGTGGGCACAGGGCCTCGTGTGGGCTGGGTCCAGCGAGGCCCAGGGGCAGGGCCTGGGGCGACGGGCGTGGGGACCAGCTGCCCACCAGGCCCGTCTCCTTGGTGATGGCTGTTAGGGAGGCACCCCGAAGCCCTTCACGCTGACTCACGCCGTCTCCATCTGCAACCTCATCTGTCCATTCTTTCCCCAGGCCAGGGGCTTGGCCAGAACTGGGCCGGAACATGTGAGGCCACTGCCACCCGGGCCTCAGGCCTGGCTCTCTGGGTATGGAGAGCCTGTGGGCAGAGTGCCCACTGCACGTCTGGGGAGGGCTGAACTCCTGGCCCTCGGTGCTCTGCACATGGCGCAGCCCACAAGGCCTCTGTCCCTCAAAGGACCAGTGAGGGTCTGGGACCCCTCCCTCCGAGAACTTGTTTCACGGCCCGCGGCCCCTGCTGGGCACTTGCAGACGCTTTCCTGCCCTTTTCCGTGTCTCCGGCCGGGTGACCCTGACAGCTCTGCCCCTCACTCAGCCTTGAGCTCCAGGCTGGTCTCTGAGGGTGAGTCCCCACCCCGTCCCACCTGGGCCCACGGAGGGGCCCTCTTTGCCGGAGGTGGCGTGTCCAGGGCTGTGAGGCCAGAGCGGCCTGAGCACACCTGGGCCCGGCCTGGGGACAGACAGGAGGGAGTGGCAGAGCCCTGCCCACCTCGCGTCCCTGCTGTAAGGCGGGTATGCCACGGGGCTGGCCTCAGAGGTGCCTTTGGACTGGGGAGGCCTGGGACGGCATGTCTGTCATCTGGCTACGTGGCCAGACGAAGAGTGGGGACGGCTGACGGCCACTGCTCACCTGTCCCAGGGCCATCGCGTGGCCCACACTGCTGCCCACGATGCCATCCTCCCACCAGAGCCAGTAGCGGCCGCTCTTGACGTGGAACTAGACTGGGGCTGGCATTGGCCCTTCCAGGGAGTGACTGAGGGCTGGTGACTTCAGGGCTTCTCTCCTGGAGGGGCAGTGGCCGGGTGGCAGAGTGGCAGCGTGCCCCTCCCTGGCTGAGCTGGGACGTGTGGATCTCTCCGCGGGACTGGCTTGTCTTCCCGAGTTGCTGGCTCTGTCCTGGCCACCGACGCCGGGAAGGGCTGAAGATGGCCAGTCACGGCCACATCCACCTGTGCCAACCCCAGGGTTTCGGGACGTTCTGAGAGGCCTGGTCAGAGCCACCGCAGGGAGCCAGCTGGGAGGAGGTCACGTGAGGCCGTGGGCCTTGTCCTGTCGAGGGGACCGTTGGCAACGTGAGGAGCAGGCTTCCTGGATGCCGCCCTCCTTCTGGGCCTCCCACCTGTTGTCTCCTCTGCTGGTCAGGCCAGTCCTCTTCATCCTGTGGGCCCATCTGTGGATACCTCCTCAGGAAGCCCGCCAGGATGATGTGTCTCCCAGGCCCTGTGTCTACCGCTGGGCTGAGCTGGGCTCTGGTGCCCTCCTGTGCTCCTCCCCTGGCCAGCCTCAAGGCCCTGACCTGGAACCCAGGCCTTCCCTGTCCTTCCCTGTGCTCCTCTCCCAGCCGTCAGGAACTGCCACCAGGCAGAGACGGGGAAGGAGGTGCAAGAGGGCGGCACGCACTTCTCCAGGGCCAGCTAATTGATGAAATTGACTGACGAGCACAGGAAATTAATTGTGGTTTTGAAATGGACTGTTTTCTCATGTGTGTGCCACTATCAGTGGGCGCTAGTGGAGCTGCTGCCAGTGGCCGTTCTCAGAGCTGGGGCGCTGGGACGCGGCGGCTCTCAGGAGCCATGTACCCGGAGTGGCCGAGGGCCCCGGTGCTGTGCTCCTGCTGCTGGTGTGCGGTGCCTGTGGCCAGCCTGATTGGACCGCACAGCCTTGGGATCCCCCAGGGAGGCTTATGTCCTGGATGCTGGGGTGGAGCAGGGCAGGTGTGGGCTCCCAGACCAGGCTCTCCCTGGGGTCCCTGTTCAGTCTTGCACACGCTGTGCTCCTGCTGGGTCCCACCTTGGCCTGAGGGACTCTGCCCCAGAGAGCCACCACTTGGCCAGTTTGGCTGTGTCCTGGGCTGTGCGTCCTTGCTGACCTGCACAGAAGCTCTGAGGCCCCCTGGTTGTGCGCTGGAGGGCTTCTGCTGCGGCCCTGGCACTGGGCGAGGGCTGGTGGTAGCCCTTGTGCAGGCGTGGCCCTCAGCTGGGAGCAGGCAGCCCAGTGAGAGCTCACTTCCTTCCTCCGGCCGCCCTCCGGCACCCCCAGGGTATTGGGGTGGCTGTGTCTGAACAGTGGGGCCCACTGGTTCTGGGCTGGCAGGCCCAGGCCCCTGGCTGAGGCTCTTTTTCCTTTCCTGGCTTCTGGCAGTCAGTTGCAGGTGCCAGCTCGGCCGGCCCTGGCGCCAGTGCCGGTGGGCAGGATCTGTGATGTGACCACGGTGCAGATAGAGCAGCCCCTCCGCAGCAGGGGCTGGCCTTGTCCAGTCCAGGCCTTCCGGGCTCGGATGGAGGTTTCCAGAAGACGAGGGATTCTTCCGAAAGCTGCGGCATGGGAGCCCTGCCGAGCTGCCAGCCTGCCACCCGTGGAACTCGCACTCCAGACAGCAAGGCCGGACTCCCGGGTTCCAGCCGGTGCCCACGCTGGCCCCTGCACAGCAGCCCTGCGGCCTGTGATCCCATGAGCCAGTGCTGACCTTGTGGTGTCCACACCATGTCCTGCTGGCTCCTGCAGGGCCGATGGGCACCTGGTCCAGCAGGAAGGTCGTCAGGCCTTTCTGCTCTGACAGGGTGTCTCTGCGCACGGCACAGGAACGGGGACCCCTCAGGAGGTAGAGTCTGTCTGGGCAGACCCCAACTTCTCGAACTGACATGGCGCCACAGGCAGAGATGAACCCACCGAGCAGACGCTGGAGTCAGAGCTCAGGCCCCGTGGAGACCCTCAGCAGAATGGCCAGGGCCACACCCGGTCCGGCTCCTTCGGAAGGCCCCGGAGCCAGCTTCGACCCTGATGTGCAGTGGAGGAGGGGCAGCACTTGACCTGCCTTTCCATCAGGATGGGCAGCCAGAAGCCTTTCCTTTAGAAGTTTCTCTCTGAACTTCGCCATCCCTGTGGTGGAGCGGCCCTGGACGTATGCAGACTGGAGCCGATGTCCGGAGAGGCCCACGGGGTGGGCAGGCAGCCAGCCCGCATCGGTTGCCTGTGTCCGTCCCAGCTTAGATGCGGCAGGGACAGATGTAGCCGTGACCTGGGACCGCCGGCATGCTGTACCTGCTGTACAGGGTCTTCGCGGTGCTGCGGGATGCCCTTGGCCCGTTAGAGGGTGACCATGCCTCGCTCGGGTGTGAGCCTGACTGGAGTCTGGCCCTGAGGCTCCGTGGGCTCCGTGGTCATCGTGCGATGGCCGCATGAATTGCTGACGCAGCACGGGGCGAGGACGTGCAGGCGGGCACCCTGCTGGGAGGCTCTGTCCCCTCCTGCTCCTGGTCCTTCAGGGTCACCGTGTGAATGACATGGCGTCTGGACCGACGTGGAACCCCTCTCCTTGCCTCTGACCAGAGGGCTTCGCACGCCTCCTTTGTAACTGGCAGGACCCGCCGGCTGAATGGCAGACTATCCTCTTCCGTCTTGGCTCACACCTGCCGGAAACACCAACACACGACGTGCTTCCTTAGAGGCCTCCTGGCATGCTTCTCCTGGCTCCCACACATGCTGGGCTCGCCTCCCTGCCTTTCTTTGGGTGCCTTGGCCTTGGCTGGCCCTGCCCGGCTCTGTCCCTCGGGGAGGGCCGGAGGGGAGCCTCGTGCCCAGGCGCTTGGCCCGCAGCAGTCTGGGGAGGTGGATGCCCGCCTTCGCAGCCTCCCGGGCGGGATAGGGAGCAGGTTAGCAGAAAGTGTGTGTACGTTTGGGAGGATTTGGGCTTGCCACTGAGTACTGGGGATGCTTGTGGAG